TCGTATTTAACCACATTTTCAGCACAAATTGATCACTAGTTGATTTGCGAATTAGTGTTTTACAATAATTCACTAGCTAACAAGTGCAAATTCATTCATCACATTTGCCTTCGTCATAGTCTGAATGTAGTTTCAAAATGGAGTTAGCCATCATCATCTCGACAAGAAATAAGTTTAACCGATCGACCCGAGACTAGGAACTACGAGGAACGTCTAGGAATACTAGGAAGTTAGCGATTCTCAACGTGGTACCCCGAAAAAATACAGTTTAATATATATCCCATATAGTACCCAATCTGTTCCCACGTACAGCTTGAAGCCTTGGAATTCCAAGGTAACCCTTTGAAGGAGGTTACCCAGCAGAAATCCGAAACCACGTACTTCTGACCAGGGGGTACGAGAAGACATGCCGAATTTGCCTCCCTCACACCAAAGCACGGTGTGTGGGCTCTGATATCTCTTTCGACAGCGAGTGCGTGTTGACCAGGCTGCGAGGCTGTGTCTGGTTCTCCTGCAGGAATGAGGAACCTGGAGGGGATGCGAAGGACATAACTCCTTTGCTACACTGAATGAGTTGTGTCATTCAAGTACTAAACTCGAGTTCTGTTCCAGGTGGATCTGGTGTGATCCAGATTCTGTTCCTTGCCGGTTGGAGCTGGGAGGGACATATAAATTAGCAAAAACGAACATTGGAAGAGGGCGTGCGGACGGTTGAAGCCCGAGGAACCACTTCCGATTTCGTTGATTAGCCGTGATTGCCCCCAATCACGAGGTAATTGCGCATGGTGCTGCATCGAGGGTGAGGAGACATTTGTTCCTTTTTTCAGAATTTGCCAAAACACCTTGAAATGAATGGTTGCACTCGTGAGGCTGTGCTGAGAGACTTTGTGTCGAATATCCTTGTTACCTGAATCCTGTGAGAATTCTTGGATGCGTAATATATGTAGTAGTGCAGATATGAATAAATGGAATCTGTGTAGAAAAGTGGTAGCGATGCAACTGCATGTAACCAGGCGCGAGATTGACGGACTCACCAGATCTTTCATGAAATGAATGGTTCCCTTGGGTCACAGGTGTCCTTGACAGGTGTCCATATGGGCGAGAGTCTTTTCTGTCACCCAATTTCCAAGCCACTAACCTTAAAAGGGAATATAATCTACATACATAACTGCCTACAAATGCCCGGATGACTTTTCATATTAATTGTTCACCTAAATTCCTGTGAGATGTATCATTCTATAGGACACGATCTGCACGGATTGAATTCGTTCTAAAATATCAAAATGTTGACATTTTATCCCACAGTACTCAATCTATGTTGCGAGTGCACTGCCACCATCTCTGTCGAGTCCAGATAACTGCTTCAAGACTACCGAATGACACCAGATTTCTTCACTTGACTTCTCATGGATGCCCACAATGAATTGGTTCGGATACCTCTTTCCAGAACGACAGCGTCTTTACCAGGTAGCGAGGGTGCGTCTGGCTCTCCTGCAGGAGTGATGAATCTGGTGAAGCAGTGGAAGTAACTCATCAGCTGGACGGAATGAGTTATGCCATTCAAGTTCTAAACTCGTGTTCTGATCCAGTAAAGGAATATGCTTAAATTGACACTTCCGATGTGCAATTTCACTCTATAGCAGATTTTCGAGCTCTACACAATATTAGCATGCGTTCAGGCTTAGGAGAGGAACAAGTAATGCCCCAGCGTTGAAAATTCAACGCTGGCACAATGTGACACATGTTCGTATTTTCAACATTGAAATTCGTTTCCCTTCGACATTGCAGCAACATGGAATTCATCTCTTGCACACGATTGTGGCTACATTTCTGCATTGCAAAATCAGTCTTCGCTCAACCTTGACCCTATGTTGTTACGCCGATTGGGGAAAGCTTTCCAATGATCAAATATTGCTACATGAGATGTCGTTACAACTGAAATCGCGTGTATGTCTTACTTGCTCAAGCCTGTCTGAGTGACTCTTAGTTCTGTCCCGCTGGACCCTTACTGACTTTCTTCAACTTGTCAAACAAATTTCCTTGCAAAGCTTCGAACAAATAAAGAAAAAAACATCATTTTTCGTTTACGCATTTCCTTTTCGCACAATAATATTTGCGAATTTTCATCAGTTAACTGAAGGTAAATTTTGAGTTCGGAAACGCCATGGAGCAGCAATTCTGAATATTCATGCCTGTCGTTTTCATTTCAGGCCTGAAAAGAAGTCGCTGAAGCTGAGCATCAATATATGGCTCCAGCATGTGGATTTCCGTGAATATCGGCATGTACGACGTTCTAAAGGCACTATGGGTGGATAATTGAAATGAAGATTTGGGAAAATGTAATCTTTATTTTTAAAAAATGAAAAAAACACCTTTGGAGTTCTTTTTGGAGCTTTCTTGTTTTCGGGGTTATGAAAAAACGGTTTTGTGGCCCCTTTGCGGCTAAAACACGGCTGCTGTGGATTGCGATTTCCCCTCTCGGAGTAAATAATAAATTATACATGGATTTTAACATGAAGCAATTCTTGGATTAATAATTATTCAAACCGGATGATCTCGGTTGCAAAACAACCGCGGCCTGGAGGTTAGACATAGAGCGTGCGCGATTCTGGCCGCTAGCTAGGTCGGCCGACAATTGATTCTCTTTTTGTCTGTGTGTGTGTGTGTGTGTGTGTGTGTGTGTGTGTGTGTGTGTGTGCGTGTGTGTGTGTGCGCGTGACAGCTCTACAGGCCACACGCTGAGAGATATGTGCTTGAGGTTTCGACGCAACTCTTCCTTACCATCCGAGGATGTGCCTTTGGGAAATCGGCCATAAGAAAGGGAGGGGAGGGGCAATTTTCATTGGAAATAATAGATTAGCTCTCGTCTCGCCATCTTTCGGATGATCTTGGAAACAAGAGTTGCTGTGGTTCTCGAAATGGATTGATGGCATCGCTCACAGCACGGTCTCCCGCCTGCTGCTGTGAATCCAATGATTTAAAGGATCAATTATGAAATACTAGGTGATTCCTCAGCTTGCCACCACATGCGTTCACAGGGGCTTTCGCAAAGGAACCCATCACCCTCATTTTCCCGTTTTTTTCCATGGCTCTAAGTGAAGATTTGCAGAATTGCACGCAAAGCGCAACGAGTTCGGAGAGAGTGAGAGGTTTTCAACGGGTTGGATTGTTTTCCCGTTTCGCAGTGGCTTTGGTCGATGGAAAAATGTATCATGTACCTTTGCAGAACTGAGTGCAACAAAAAAGAGCCAGATATACGTTCCCTCCTTCCACAAATGACATCAAAACAAGTATCAACGATATGTCATGTAGAATATGTATTTACAAGGCACACCCAACGTACTTGTGCCCAAATGGCCAAGCAAATAATGAATGAAGATTTGTCGCAATTGACAGCTCTGGAAATTTGTTTTCCTTGCAACTTCATGGAAATTCCTCAAAGCTAGCAATAATTACATGACGTAAATGGAATACCAATGGGAACAAAATGTGAAGTTTAAGAAAATGAAGCTTGCCTTATAGCCGCAGAGGAAGAAAGGCAGGAAGAAGACCTAGGGCGACATGATGCGAGGAAGGTGCTGGATGGGTTCTTGGTCAATGAGCGGGTCCGCCTAATTTCATCTCCTCTCTGAAATGAAAGCTGTGAAAATAATGAAACTCACCGTAACCGGAATTGACAACGACGCGATTTGGTCTCGTGATTTCGTCATTCCACGACGCTCGACAGCTCCGTCGTTGATTTGTCATAGAGGGATTAAATGGTGAAGAAATCCATGTCTCACGGGTTTGAACAGAGGGGTGGTCCCGATTCAAGCCAAACCGGGCCTGTCAAGGCATAGTCTTCGATTTTTGTTTTTTTTAAAAGACGTGTGAATTGAGAAATCCTCCTATTCAAGGTTCAACGTGGTTTAGTGGCATCAAGAGGCGATAACGCCCATTTGGATACGACGTATGGAGGTCGAGGGTTTCTTAATTCTAGGGGAGGCTTACTCCTAAAGTTGAAAATTTTAAAATGAAGTTCCTTTTTAGCATGTCCTGGTTGCTTGCAGCCTAGTCCCTTAAGGTACCATGGGAACAAAAAAATCGACCTCCCTTGAGAGAAACTTCTGTTCTATAACTGCTGAAAGGGTCCTCAAAAAAGAGCCTTGGAGCCAATTGCTTGCTCTGTCAGATGGTCACGCCCGGGGCCATGATTTGAGGTCAAAGGTGGTGATTTACATACCTCTCTTTGAAATTATGTGTCTCCGCACCATTGGTAGCAGAAACGTCAAATTTCTGCCATTCCCCTTTGAACATAGCGCGATTAACGGAAAATATGAATACATGCATGTAATTGTCGTTATCGAGACTTCATGGTGCCATATATGATCATTTTTCTATCGCAGATTCCCGTTGTTCCACGCTCATTCCCCTTAGAAATATTCTATCGACAAAAGCATGTTTCAGTTTTTGGAAACCATCCGGGTTCGTCTTTTTGTGGAGTTGCGCATAGTTTCCTCCACAAACTTCGATGTTCCACCTGAAAATGCCACTTTTTAGGAAGTGACGTGAAGTTGACAGACATAGCTCGAAAACGAGGCTGAACTTAAAATATTCTTCCGATGAGTCTCTTAAGGAATCTCTCAACAAGCTTCATGTGGATTTTCAACCGAGTCCGTTCGCTCTCCTCGGAGCACTTTTTTTATGTTATGGCCTAAGTTGGGTATCGGGTCGATTTCCTCTGTTCGTCAATCGCAAATCCGGGATTTATTGTGTCTATCGTATAGAGAGGTAATTCAGGAATCAAATTAAATCAATTTTCTCCTGTGAGAAAGTCCCAGGGGATATTCCCAGGGGATAGACAACGCGGGGCTTTAATTCCCGATTTTCATGAAATCTTGAATCCTCGCGCGCAGCTCGTCCTTCTTGGACCTCCCTCCCGACTCACACCCACTTGTGCGTGCGCGTGATTGTGAGTGTCTGTGTGTGAGCAGCAGGAGAAACAAGAGACCGACGCGACTTCAACTAGGGCCTGTCACAATTGATTTTTTTCTTGTCCCTAGGACACTTTCTCTCTCCTCCCCCCTCCTTTTTTCATTATGAAGTGTTCCACTTTCGATTTCCCCCATGTCTTCCCTCTTGAAGGCAATTCTAATGAAATGGACCTCCTCCCAACTCATTCTCCCAAAGAGGAGAGGCTGGAAGATGAGCCAAAGATAATTGAAATTGAGCGAGACGGGATTGTCATCCTGGTAACCCTGCCGACGCCACCCAATGCTGGAAACAAACGCTAGCGATAGAACTCCCAAAGCGCCATTTGAGTGCATCTCGATGAACATGCTTCCAAAATATGATGCAATTCCACCGATCAACAACATTATGGAACGGATTTCTGTAACGGCAAAACTGTCTTTATGATTCGGGACGAACCAAAAAATGACCCCAAGGATGATACCATATAGAAGCCCAACAATTATTTCAGCAAATGGCATGAATATCTTCTTAATAATTGAGCCCTGGGAGAAGGTGACACCGAGGAAGACAACAAAAGCGGAGATTGCGAGGACGTCATCCATAGATGAGGCTGCAAGCAACAACGTCGGGATACCCTTGTCGACGCCATAGCCCTCTTCTTGGATTCTAAGCATGCACGGAATGACTATGGCGGGGGAGACTGCAGCAAATGCGAACCCCAACATGAAACCCCATGTCCAAGGCAGCTCGAGAATGAAATATGAGAAGCAAGCTACCGCGATTGCCTCAATGGTGCAGGGCACAAATGCCAGTCGGGTAACCATCAGACTCAAACGTCTCAGTTGCTCGGGATTCAGTCCGAGTCCAGCACGTATGAGAATGACTACTAAGGCGATACCACGAATTTTCCCAGACCATTCCGGCTGAAGAGGGTGTTCCATCCAACCAGTTTGGCGCTCCAAGTTACCTAAAAGTATGCCAACCAACAACATTCCAAGGAGACCTGGGAGCCGGATGATCTCCATGACCCATCCACCAAGAAGACAAGCGAAGAACACGATGTAGAGCTTGAAAAGATTCCCATCGAGGAGCATCTCGCTACCCGTGAGACCGTATCCAGCCAGCCAGAAGAGTGGGAGTGCCAGCAAGAAGGTACACACGCGTCCCAGCTTGACTCCAGGCGGGCACAGCAGGTTTCGACGGAAGCGTTCCCATCTGGTGGCCTCTGGAGGGAGTTCTCTCTCGTCACGCAGCAAGAATGGGCACCCGGGTTGACGTTTTCTCTTCGTCGTCATCCTGCTTCGATGGGGACGGTCGAAGTGGATCTTGCATCGAGGTGTTGAGGGAGAGTCTGACGAGGGAGGTCCGTGCCCTCAACAGAATGGCAGTTTCAGGGCGAAGGACGTCTTTCGGGGCATGGCAACGTTTTCACTTCCTGGGCGAGTAGTCCCCAGATGAGCCTAGAAAGGCGCAATTTCAATGATTTTCGTCGCAATGAGTAGCATATACGGGACACCATGCGAAATACGAGATATTCTACCCTGGGGAAATACTGTATCGCTGATATTCAACAATGTTTTGAATCAGAACGATGTACGAGTAAAACTACACCTTTCCACGAAAGAACCTGAGTAGCAGCATATTCTCCATTAATCGATCGGCATCCATAAACATACTGGTACGCATCCTGTGTCATTCCGCCCAGCCTATGGCCTATATGTGCATCGGTTTGTTGGCATTGCGCGGTGGGCTTAAGTAGCTGGGTGTTAGGGCAGGGCGGGGGAAAAGTCTCTGGTTGCGAATGGATTAAGAGGGAAATCGCTTGGAATCCTGAGCCCCCTTCGAAGCCCGACGAAGCAACGCATGGTCCTCTTCTCTCTTTTGCTCTTCCCCGACGTAGCCCTTCGTGACCATCACTTGCCTGCCGGCTGGATGGGCGAAGTCCAGGACGCATCGCGCGTCCGCCTAGGGCGGCAGGCGTGTAGTACCGTTGTATCGGCCGTGGGGGTCGCACTATCGGCCGGGTTGCCAGCTGCCGATGCCCGTGCCCAAAGGGCAAAACTTAATAGCGTGAGCTTGTGAACACAGCTATGCGTCGGCCCTGGTGTCTACCACAAAGGCACTCCCTCCGGCCTCTCCCGGACAAATAATGTAGATGGACCAGGTCATATTTCAGCTCCAGTGTAGGAATTGGCGAAAGAAAATAGCTGTAAAAAAAGGGAAAACATTGCGCCTTCCTTTCATGTTATACTTTTGTTAGGGACGTGCTGTTATTGAAACACCTTTGAAACTATAGGAGAATTTGATGTTCCCTTTATCTGCAGGCTACGATCGGAATTAGCCAACGAATTTGTGATGAAAATCGGCCATCGGTCCGCCGGTCAAATGTGGCCATCGGTACAGCCATAATTAAAAGACAAGCCCTCATAAGACATTACTCTTTAGCCAACAATACCGGCTCCAATCACCGGGACACTCATTAATATATTTTCGGGATTCATTTTCTTGGTAATTTTTATCTTTACGGTTTTTTTAAAACTCATTTTAAATTTAGATCTGAACACGAGATTCATTTTTAACGGCGTCATCTCCACGTTCTTGAAAGAGACTATTTCGCAGCTTTGGTTTGCAGACCGAACATTTGCCCGAGGCCTCGGAGAGTTTTCCTAATAACACTCAATCATGAACAGTAATGTAAGTACGTGTACGTGTCCGGTCTTGTGTGAATAAAAGTGAATGTCCATTCGTGGCAATGAGGAAAATACTGAGTCGGCAATGAGCGGCTATTATGCAGGACGCAAGGTTGAGACTAGTCGCCGGCGTTGGACGATCGGGAAGGCCGTTGCCCAAGCCGACGCCATTTTATCGAGGGACGCAATGTTGTGGGCAATGTGGGCCTATATTATGTGCGGGAGGGCATTTAGTTTTATGCCTGAAGTGTATTGGACGATTTTTCGAGAGGCGAATTTAAAATCCTTCCTTTTTTGCCTGTCATTCACAGGACAAACGGAAATTGGCAGAGGGAAAATGCTGGAGTACGACTATGGTCCGCTTTGCGGGAGTCGGTGCGGGAACCAGTTGTGATTGCATCGGAGGCCTCTACGAGAGCGCGGGCCAATACCGCTGTCCCGCGGAGTATTCTGGAAGGCTTCCAACCGCTTCCACTCCACTCCGTTGAGGAGCCGGCCTCCCCCTCTCTCCATCGATCCGTGATCCCTTGTGTCTACCTAGCCTCAGTCGGCCCGCATTCCTCTCCTTTTTCCTCTTGTCTTCCCCGTGCCCTCATCTTCACTCCTTATTTCCCATTCCCAGTAATAAATGCACTATTTTTCAATGAGCTCGAAACATTATACTTCCGAAGGAGCGTCGCAGATGTCGGGGTGCCTAAGCTTAAAAAGAGTGCAGAGGTCTTGATATGGACGACCTTCATATTTTCAGAGCCCCCCCAAACCAAATACCGTAAATTTCTCTCAGGGAGGTACATTAGACAAGCGACTCACAGTCTTCGACGCTCGCCGTCTTTCCATCGTTCGCCGTCTTCCATTGAAGTATGCAGAGACGAGCGGCACACTCGGCTGCATGAGGCATGCTTCTCGCGGGTGCATGCGCACTAGGCGTTCACGCATGGAGCTCAGAAATCCGAATTGGAGTCAAAGCGTGAGCAGTAGGCGTTCCTGTGGGTTGGCGTCAGTCACCGCTTCCCGTTTTCCTGTGAATTAAACGCCAAACGGTGAGCTAGGGAGAGCATAACGGTTCCGACTGTCGACTTCTGGCCTATCTAGGAGCTTACGTTTCCTCTTTCGTCTTTCTTCTGTAGGCACATGCCTTTTTCGATTCCATTCTTGATACATTAACGATGGCGCAGCTGCGATGGAGAAATGTGCAGACGAACTTGCTCATTAATGCAAGACCGAATATAAATTTCAGTTTGTCAGCTCGCCAGATTAAGGGTCGGCCCTTCTCATGGATTTTTGCACCGCCAGACGATAGAGTCAGGTCTCATACGTGTTGCGTTTGCTGAATTTTTTGATGAACTTAGTGCTATCATCGTACCGGACAATGGATTAATTTTTGTGTTGGACAATGCTTATGTGCACAAAAGGGTCATTCCTCGACACAAGGAAGACTCTTACGAAATATCGATGCCAAATAAAAAAATATATGTGAAGTCAATTTGCATCGTGAATATTGGATGCCTCATGCAGACATGCATACGAGTATTCTTTTCAAGACGTCAATACGGCTTTGGCCAGAAATCCCTAAGAATGAAGGCATTTCGCTTTTCGGTCTCCTGCCGTCCGCATTTTTACTTATCCTCGGGTTATGATTTGGCCTCGTAGTCTCTTGGTGTCTCTGTCGAGACTATAGGAAGTTGAACGGAGATTCAACGGCTTAAACTCGCCCCTCCTCGTCCTGTTCACCATTCCTTTATAAGCCCCTGGGTGCTCCTTCAAGCATGCGGGTTGCCTGAATGGCAGGTATGCCTGAGAATCACCTGAAAAAGGCATATCAGGATGGAGGTGTATGAGCCGACTTCAAGAAATCGGGTTCCGGAGGAATGGAAACGCTAATCAAATAGAGGACATTTAATAACCTCACCAGGAAAGACCGTGGTGAGTAAATTGTCTTCAATGTCGGCAAGTTCTTGCATGAGACAATATTTGAGAAATTATTGCCCAATCTTCCATCGTCCCAAGTCCAACGTTTTTCTACAAGAGGACAATTTTGTTTCATGCGAAAAATGTCAATACCTGGAAAGGGAAGCACGTGTTCGATGAATTATGAAGGAAAAAATCAAGTTTAGTCAAGCAACTCCTGACTCTCCAGAGCAAGAGTTTCCACGAGAACTTACACGATGTAATCATTCCTGTTTTCTTATAGCGGTGTGGGATCTCTTTCCAAGAACCGCATACCCTCTGATATCGAGAGGTCTCAGGATGCTGTATAAAAGCTTCGTCACGTTTTCATGAATGATCCTGCAATCGGTCTCAAGCCAAATGGTTCATTTGGCTTGAGACCATGGGATTTGAAAATATTCAAACTTTCCATTTATGTTGGCCAGTGTAGTTGGTTTAGTCTACTTCCATTACAGGGCATGATATACAAGATATTATGATAATTTTAAACCGGTGGCTTTTCCTTTGTCTATGTGAAGTCGACCAAACCTAGTACTCATTACCTAGCATTGTTCTCGAGTTATTTATTTTCACCACCGAGCATCGACATATTTTAAGCCTCAGCATCCACAGTTCGCCACCTTTAAGGGCATCGCACCTGTGTTGCTGCCAAAGTAATGACTATGTTGGATTCTCCCATTTGCAAAGTGTGTCCCACTTTGAGAGCCAATGATGGGCCCTAGTAGGCTCGTCCTCCTGTCCACTTTGAACTGATACCTACCCACACGTTGGGTTGGCATTGGAAGACCATATTACGCCAACACTAGACACTGACGTGCGGCTGAACATTTAGACGTTCAGGAGGGACCTAGAGTGAGCTTCTACATGTGCTGTGCTTTTCTAACGGAGACCATGCCGCCTGGTATCTGTCTAGCTTCAGCGAGACCTAAGACCTTCCTCCCCCGGGATTCCCTTTTCCTGGGACGTTTACTTTTTTTTTTACACTGGATTAAAAATAAAATTTTTATTTAATTCCTCATTCATCTGGTTCCTTTCTCGATTCAAACGTGCTTGGCTTGTAAGATCCCTTGAGTGTTGTATATTTTTTTCGCTCCGGAATACACATTTCCGAAAGGAAGCCAGACACTGCCCCCGCAATTTAGGAATATTCACTTTCGTTCTCCTTCCCCCCATTGGAATCAGACCCCTAGTTCATTTATCTTTCCTCCACAATTTCGGGGAGTCTTCCTGAGCAGTTGAACTTGTCTAAACAAGCACCTTGAGGAGTTCGAGTGTTCCTACATCCCATCTTTGATGTGGGAAAAGTCCAGGTATTGTATGAACAATGCAGAAGACTTAGAGCGTGTCACACCCTCCTGTTTCCCCTGAAGTACCGTGATTTGACGCCATCTCGCTTCATTTTTGAAAAATCTCCTTGTTCGAATACGTAAGATAGATAGCATACTGACAGAAAATACATTTTCTGCCGCACTAGCGCGGATGTGTGACCCGCATTAAAAGCCCACTGCTAGGTAAGCCCACTCTCCCCCACGCACAGTCAATATGTTCTGACTCCGTGCTTCCTTTATCTCTTTTGTTCCCTCTTGGTCTGTCATTTAATTATCGTGCCAAAGACACGTCATGGTCTATGTGAACCCGCCTGATATGCCTTGATGTAT